ACATAAACTTCATAGCAACATTCTATTTAGAACAAAAATAAATGATAAATCAGTCCAAAATATAATTCTTAATTAATTAATGATAATGATATAAGAACCAAAATAAATTCATTATTCACTAGTAAATGAAAACGACATCCCATTGCTTTACCAAGAAGCTTTACGAAGCAAAAATTAGAATTGAAAAACTAGGAAACGCGCCTCTGCCTTGCTTTTCTCTTTTAACCACTCAGTGCTCACATAGTACATTCACCACCCAATAGATGGCGCTAAACACCGAAAATATAACAGTGTCTAGAGTTTATTCTGGACCCAATTAAACAATCCGTGCAAGCCTGAACTTTATTAAAATTTTCTAGTTAGCTTTATAATATAATATTTATTTATTTACTCATTGCATTGCATACATGTTACTTAGAAACTAATTACACACAGAATCATGTCCAATTTTGACCTAAAAATTCACTAACGCGTATATTGATGTGATTCATCTCAAAATGCAGCTTATTTTTTACTTATTTCATATAAGAAAACTAAATCTTAAAATAAAGTCAGGATAATAATTATTTTTAAATAGTATTATGATAACTGCCAGAATGCGATTGGGACCCTAAAATTACGGCTTACTACATTACCCCAATGCGATTCGGACCAAATGGCGATTTGTTTCATCTACAAGGGTACAATATTCTTTCGTCAAAAACTTAAAAAGCGCACATTCACAATTACGTTTTTGATTTATTTCCATATTTACGAGTCAAACTATAAAAAGTTTTGATTTTAATACACTAATTTTTAAAGTAACTTCACAATTATCTCGAGTTTTGACAGCTATTATAACCTCATAAAATTGTTTACAAATTATTGATATCCTTTACCTCCAAATAAAAAGAAGCTAAGATTTTATTAAATTTTAAGAAAAAACTAATAAAAATTTTCCAAATGTGGAAAAACGCTAACTTTAAAACAAAACATGTGACAGGTCAATTAATGTACGGAAAATAGACATGACTTTCAGTTCACAATATCCACATGCACCTAGATAATTTAAAAACCTAAGATGTCTTACAGTAACTATTACCTAATATTTGCAATTACCGGAATTTTCCTCTCTGTTATATTAATAAAGATTTTGTGTAAATGTTGTACAGGTAAAAATTTCATTAATTTATTTTCTATTTAAAAATAAAACTCCAATTGGCTTTAAAAATTAATTAAAATTTATTTATAAAAGTAACCATATCAATTAAATATTTAAATCACCAATGCAAATAAAAAACAAGATTTCGATAATAAAATACAATCGTATTTATGTAATAATAATACAATATTAACTATGGATTATCATTAATAGTTTTATCTAAATTTCAAATGTCTTATTTACATTTATTTTAAATTTTACACGGCAAAATTTAATTTTAAATCAAATCAGCAGTCACTTTTATTTGTGTAAGCTATAAATTATTCGCCCACATACTTAAGGTGTGTTTTTTTGACCAGTGCACTTTTATTATTCTTTGCGTTACTGTACATCATAATCAAGTTTTTTTTTTATTTTAACCTACATAATCACTAACATCGGTGATAATAAAGTTAAAAGATATCAAAAAAAAAGTCACTTTATTTCATCACCTACTGTACCAATAGAAGTTGACTGTAGTGTGTCTCACACAATGGCTATTCTGTCAAATGCTTGATCGGAATTCGGTCAGGAGTGTGTTCAATGTTATGAGAAAGTTATTGATTTTTTTATATTCTTCTCCAATGCCTTTTACAAATAAAATATTCCAATTTGCCACCAGATTCTGGTACGCCAGAACAGAAGGCCTATTCTTTGTTCCTGAAAATGAAATTAAGTCTATTTTCGAAAAGTTAATACAATTCTGAAAGTAAACTACCAAAGGAAGTACCTGGCTGCTTTTAATGTGCAGGTATTCTTACTGGACATCATTTTTACAAAGTTATAGCGGCATTTTGAATTATTCCTAAATTCCGTTTGTGGACAAATAGTTGGCTCTCACATTGACGAGGCTCCTTGCCGGACTGGACCTCATCTGATGTTACCCGCAGCGGGTTTTATCAGGTAGGCCAGTTTTTATCTGTTTTTTAAACCCCTTAATGATTAGGATAGTCCAACCCAAATAATATGGCAAAACAACTTATGCCAGGTTTAAATATCTACGATTTAAGTTAGAACCTTAACTTTATTTAATAGCTAGCACACCATCAATGCCGTACCGTGCGGCAGGCGAGGGAATCACAAACTACGCAGCAGTGCATTCGTTCTTTGCTGGCGGTGTTTGCTGCAACCCGCCCTTAAATAGTATGTAAATATGTTCTGTTAATGAAACTGAGTCGCAGGAAAAAAGTGCACTAATCAAAAAATTATACATTATGTCAAATTTCCGCATTTAGGTTAAAATTAAATAGAGAAAAACAGTTTTGTGAATTCTAACGTGGTGTTGACTGTATTAATTTTATTAAAAAGTAATAAACCCAAGTCACAAAGACTTCTACGCCATCTGACATTATATTACCATATTTTTAAATACCATGATTCAGAATAATAAATATGTTAAACTAAACTTATCACAATAATACAAATAATAATATATTCAAAATTAATAATGTCACAATTTCTTTGGCACCCATATTCTTCGTTTGTCGTACTCGGACGGCGCTAATTCTAATTACTAATAATATAATCATAACTTTTAATTCATAATTTAGCAGTTTTATTATTTTATTTTTTATAAATTATTATAGTAAATTTCTATAATACAAGTCGTAGAAAATATTATAATAAATGATAATACATAAAATACTTTTCAAAACTAAAACTATACAAAAATATAAAGTTGTATAGTATTATTTTAATTGATGATAACTTAGTTTTATTTTAATTTATAATAATAAATAACTTATAAAAGCAAAAAATAAATGTATCAATTTATTAAATTTTTACACAATATATGGAAAATTTATTATCAATTATGTTTGCATTTATAATGCTATATTAAAGGTTGCTATGCGGAAGATAATCAACATTTGCAGCGGCCAATATATGATGGGCGACCAGAAATTTACTTTAATGAGCTCGTCTATTCTTTAGAAGACGCGTTAAGACGTTGCTCCTGGCTACATCTGCGCACTAATCCGCACCGGACCTGCGTGGTAGGTCATAGCCCATTTGCCCATTTCGTTATTCCGTCTGGGCCTGTGTCACATCCCCAGCATTGGAAACACGCTGATGATAATGAAGAATTTCTGGATTGTAATAAATAAATCTATCTTATAGAAAACTATTTTGTATAAAATACATTTATTAACTACTAATAAAAATAAAACATTTGGCAATTTCAAAAAAATCACACGTTCTATTTTATCTTAGAATTAATTAATTTTATTACAATTATTTAATGTGTAATGTAGCGATCAATTATATCTTAGTCCTAAATCTATTTACATAATATGATATAGTGGTGTTTCGTTTATTAATCAGGTAAATTTAATATTTTAGACTTAAATCAGATAACTGTGAAGATCTAGAAGTGTAATTGATTTGTTTTCTGGTATATTTTCTTATTTAGAAACTATTTTAGTAATACATTAATAATATATATAATATTCAAGGGAAAACTCAAGCGCAAACTAGACATATAAATAAAAATATAAGATGGCTGACGAATTTGAAAATTGATGTCCATTATTATATACTGTATATCCATAGGCATCGGATTCTTTCTTCTTCTTCTTCTCACGTATGCTTTAAATTTCTTATCACCGAAAGAGAAATAGACAATAGACATTTATTCAAAGAAAAAATAATTATAAACAAACCTGAGTAAAAGCAGTGATTGATAAACAATATTTAATAAAAATCCTATTTCTAAACTCAATTAAATAAAAATTTAAGAAACTCCAACACAATATAATACTTCTTATAAGAAGTAAACAATATTGATATTGATATAAGTGACTATCATATATATTAAATGCGATTAAGGTTTGGATATTTTTTGTTAGTTTAATACTATATATCTATATATTTTCCCAATACAGGTTTATTATAAACTTACCGGGAATCTCACCACAATATTGTAAGCAAATATTTTTTGTTAATGAAATAAAACATTTTTTTTTTCATATCTGCTGTTAGTTGTCGAGGAGCTAGGTACTCTGTAGTTTATTATAAGAGACACTTATAACACCCTTCTTCTTGTGTCGGGGTTTAAAAATGCTTAGGAATCATCACTTTATACATCTTACTGTTATAAATTTATAGTTTCAATTCATAAATATTTTGTAACTGTCTTGCATGCTATCTGTCTGAGTAAATAATCCATACATTATAAACCCTTTCTTGGTTATAAATAGAACAAAGTATTATTTGTGATTATTAGCTTTAACATTGTAGCCACCTAAGGCAACCAGTTAGCTATTGAAACTAGTATAAGATATAACGTTTTCTGAATAACTGCTATTTATAAAAATATTTAAAACATGAACCTAAACATTGCAAATAAATAATTACAATTTGATAAAGGAAACGTCACTAGAACTACCGGGCACATCTTAAATAGAGATACTACTGAGCGACACACAGATTGACCAACGAATCTACTAGAATTTGAAACATCAGCAACATTAAACTTGAACAGAATTGGTAATACAAACAACGGAAATATTATTCACGACAAGCATCAAGGACTATATTCAAGGGTACTATTATTAATAATATTAGTAAATTTTACAAAATTACATCTAATAGTGTACCTCACCATGCCTCATATGCCGCTTCTATCGACCTGATACCAAAATATATAACATATGGTCAGAGTTTACAATGACACTCAATCGATCATTTTTTGCTCAAATGAATAGACTTTCTCATACTGGCATTAAATTTTTTCTTTGATAAATTATACCCTATCCCAAATCACATTTTTGTCTTAAGTCTATACACATTATATCGATGACATTATCAAACCTTCCGATGATTAACTAGTCGAATCAGACTTTCCAGATTCGTTTTCTTCCGTGATCGTGATCATTGGTGGTGCATCAAAGCTGCCATCTCGAGACGATGCTTCATTAGACAATCTCTCGAACTTAGGAGAGCCTGAAGGAAGAATTGCATCCTTAACTGTCTCATAAACCTCAGTCCTTATAATAGGAAGAGATGCTCTTTTACTTTTCAAAACTTCTTTTGGCACATCATCTTCTTCTATAACTTCCATGCAATTGCTCTTTTCAATCACAGGTTCTGGTATTTTATCTTCTTCTAATCGCACTGGTAAGCTATCAGCTCTATTTAAAGCTTTCTTTGGGCTGGCAACTTTTTCCGATATCGGAACAGCTACACCATTCTCCAGCTTCCTTTCTTTTTGATGATGCAAATGTTGAAGACTGTATTCTCGAGCTTGGACATCAGACAGCAGAGGACCATCCGTTGAACCTTCAATACAGTATCCGGGACCTTGCAGGACTTCAGTACCAATAATTGAATCTTGCTTAAAAATAGCTGCTGTCACAACTGGTTTATCAGGATCTGTTGGAGTTTTCGTGATAAGAGGTTCTTGAGAGTTGTCATACACGATACCTTCTGGAACATCCTCTTTGATATCATAGCCTGCGTAAACTGGGTAACCGAAAGGACCCTGCTCATATCCAATTTGACTTCCATAAGAATAGCTGACGTTGTGGGAACCCATGGATGACATACTTAGATCTGATATGGAGAGACCCGTACTCGATAAGGCTAGAGCTTTCTGGCTGGAGAATTTATTGCTTTCTCCATCTGTTTTTCCTTCTAAATCTTCAGGGACTCTGTGTATGAGAGCCTGGTTGGTGGATATCTGTTGGTCCTGAGATGAAGTGTTCTGTAGTGATTTGTTATTAGGCCTATATGCTGTCGATTGCTGGACTTCTACCACAAAAATACCGTCGTTGTCTGGTGAGTACTTCATTTTTGTTTCGCGACCGTTTTTGGTAATATCCTGAAACATAAGATTACTGTATTATTCAAATTTTCTATACTACAGTATTAGTATAGAAAAAAGAGAAAAGATTGATTCTTTGTTTACATTATATAGGCATTAAAATTACTGAGCTGATTTAAACAATTATTCACTTATGGAAATCTACATCGTATGGAAAACAGCTAGTAAATAAATAAATACATGCGTTGATTATGATAAAGTGTTTATCATTGATCTAACACCATCAGTTTTTGGAGGGTCTGTAATTTGATTCCTGTTCAAATAATCACGAAACATCAAAGCGAGGGAATCAATCAATTCAAAGTAGGAATTTTCTCACCCCAAAGCGTCCAATTATTGAATTATGCAAATTTTATGAGGAACACTTGGAAACAAGAGGAGATTTCTTAACATAATTTTTGTTTCATAAAAGATTTTCAATTTTTAATATACTAGGTTTTTATCTACTATTATGACGAGAGATCAAGAATTGAGCCTTTCTTATAGATGAAATCAAATAACAATAGTGGGACAAAGCCCATCATTAGCCCAACGATGACTGCAGATAAACCAGGACCAAGGAAAGAACGGAGGAGCTTGAGATAATAAATTTTTGGACACCCATACTAGGACCAGACTCTTATTGTTCAACTTCCGTATCGCAGATTGAACATGTTAACCATTGTACTATTGATGACTTCAAGACTTCGAATAAATTAATTAAAATATAACGACTATCAGCCAGTTGCACAAACGTTCATTAAAAATCTCATTAGTTTAACGCCACATTACCCATACTAATTTTCAAATTTGGAACATTCATTAGAGCTTAAAGTCGTCATTAAACTTTAATGAACGTTTGTGCAACTGAACGTAAGTTATAATTATTTACAGGGAAGTCGGGAAAAGACGTTACGAAAAGTTTTTAGTTAATTTAGATTAATTTCTTTCTAGCGATATACTCATTTTTATATTAAATTTGAAGATTATTACAATAAATCACAAACAAAAACAAACAGAATATATGAAATATTTATATTTATAAATAGACCGATAAATAGGATTACTCTAAGTAATCAGATATAAATTTTTAAGACATTTAATTATAAAATATAGTTTTTTTTTATTTGTCATATTAGGTATCTCCCGTTATCGGATGTGCAATTTGATAACAGTTTTTAGAGATGGATATATTTAAGATGCTGATATTGATATTTACTATTATATAAGTACATTTATTTATTTTACTTTTTACCCATTTCTAATATCGTGCAGCTACTGATTTGTAACTTCGTTAACAATGTCTAAGAATCCCATCCCTTCTAATTAGTATCTTCTCGAACAAAATTTCGTTTACTTTCAAAATGCAATATCAATTCAAATAAACTTAATATCATGTTTGTTTGAACGAGATACACGATTAAGAATCATATAAAGCTGCTTGTATTATTATAGACAGCACTAAAACTACTAACACCTACGTTTCTCTCCTCGGTTTCCACGATGAGATGGTTGTTCTTGAGGGTCATGGTGAAGATTGACCCATTGGCGGGTGGAGTCTCCCCCTCTCCCTCCGCACTCTCCTCTGTCGGTGATTTCAACTGAAATTATAAAAATATATACTATGTTAGTGTTGTGATTGTAAAACACCATGAAGAATATCATGTATATTAAGAGAGGATTATTTTTTTGTATTGAATAGGCCCTGAAACTACTGAACCGATTAAGAAAATTGTTACACCTACAGAAAAGTTATAAGCGGGTGAAATACTATAATTTACGCAAGCAAAGTCGTGGGAAACAGCTAATAATAAATATGAAGATGGAATTGCAATTTTGATTTAAAAATAATAAACTAGCTATATTTGGCGTAGTGAATAAACACTGCGGCCCGCGATCGTTGTTATTAAGCAACTTTCGCACTGGTCGGTCAAGGAACGGGATGGGTGACCAAAAAATTATTATCTTGAGCTACTCCGTGCTTCTCAACTGACGGCTTAACGTGCCAACAAGCCGTTAGTCCCGGCTGCATTTACAGTCGTAAATACTCTCTAATCTGCATGCGGCTAACGTGAAGAGTAATAGCCCATCCTTCTTAACCAGGCATAAGAAAAGCCTGAACCCCTGCAGTGGAGACGTAAAAGGACCGATGATGATAAATAATTAACAACAAAGTTGCTTATTTGTCATAAAGAAAAGTAATCAATTATTTATTTACTTCCTAAAATTACACTTAAGGAAACTAAAATTACACTAGCTTTCGCCAGCGACTTCGCCCGCGTGGTCCCTAGGGAAATGTTTAGTGAGATAAAAAGTTATTATTATCTAAGTCAGCTAATAACCTATCTGTATGCCAAATTTCATCAAAATCCGTTCAGTAGTTTCAGTGTGATTGACCGACAAACATCCAAACATCAAAACAAAGAAACCTTTACATTTATAATATTAATATATTATAGATAAGATTTCGCAACTTATACCGAAGAACTCAATTTGTAATTATAGGTATATTGTTGATAGCCACATAGGAATCTTATCTAAATTTCAATAGTTCTTGGCTTTAAAAAAAAAACAAACATAATTTTTATTTTATAATGTTTAAAAACAGGATATCATCTACTCCTTATCATTATGCCCTCGGTTCAACATTAGTTTATTGCGAATCGTGAACGCTGATAATTTGACCTGTGATGACAGTTCGTTGACCGGCCAGGGGTGTGATGAGTAAGCCGAGCGACACAATGTTGTTTGGGAAGCTGCTAATGATTGGCGTTATGATCAATCGTTCACCTTCGCCCACCTACTAATGTACAGTTTTGGAAGTTTTTAGAGGCGATATTTAAGATGGCGCCCAAAGCAAAAACCATTATCTTACCCATTAATTATATACAGGGAAATGAGTCTAAATTAGCTATAATTATTACGACAAAACTACATCAATGTCTAAAGGTGATTAGGTTAAAACGTGGATTTTTAATTAAAAATTACAAAATTGTCTCTAAAATTCAACCTTTGCATAATTTTTCTAGTAATCATACTTTTTATAATAGCAAATATTTATCTATACGTGAAATAATTTATAATCGAAGATTGTGATTGTGAAATTATACAATAAAAGTAATAGTTTACTTCTGTCTATCTGTTGACGTTTTTATTTTGTCTTAATGTTCAGCCTTAAATAAAGTCTGTGCTCCAGCGACGCAAAAGCGAACGAAGCGACTTTAAATCTAAAACGAATAACGTACTAATCGACTACCACTTTCTTAGTAATTTTAATCGAACATATTCATCAAATACTCGAATTTCATTTTGTTTATTAATTAATCGTATCAACAATAAAGATAATGTGTTTTTCTGTAAAGACAAAAATATTTTATTACCCTTAACATTTTTACATGTTTTACACTTTTATCTTAATTGAATAAACATTTTACTTACCTGTAAAGACAAAAAAACAACATTTAAAGCCTTTATTTCAGGTATTTCTGTAACTGCTATTTAAATTTATAATTATCTAACTTTTACATTAACTTTCTTAATTATAAGTAAATGTCAAACATGACATCCATAGATTATAGATAAAAAATAAGAACTGTTAAGAAAAGCAATGACACTATGGTTATCTTTACATATTTAATATAATATGGTCATGATATAATCATACTCGATTTTAATAATAAATTTGCAAGAATAGTAAATTTACGAGGGTCAAACTGAAAGTTCTTAGAACTGGCCACTTATAAACAATATAATAAAAAAATAATTCTAAAATTTGAAAATATAACTCTTTGCCAATATTACTGAGTATATATTTCATTCATTTGTCATTTGTTTTACGATTTGGCGGCAAATTGAAAATTGTCTGTGTCACGTCATCATGAATTTAACACGAGAAAATTTTCGTGCAATGATTTTTTATGACTTTCGATGTCATTTAAGTCAACGAGAAAGTTATGATAGACTACGATTGGCCTTTCACGATGAAGCCCCATCTCGTGCGACTGTTTACAACTGGTTTAATGAGTTTAAACGTGGTCGCACTAATCTCACTGATGATTTACGTGAGGGACGGCCTTCTACGGCGACGACTGAAGATAACATCTGTGTTGTGCGGCGTATGATAGAGACTGACAAAAGAGTGACCTATCAACAGATTCGGACAAGCTTAGGCATCGGTATGAGTCAAGTGCACAAAATCCTCCACGAACATTTAGCGGTCAGGAAGCTTTGCACCCGGTGGATACCTCATAATTTGACTGAGGCTCAAAAACTCCATCGTGTGGATTGGTGTCGTAAAATGATTGAAAGATTTAACGGAGGTGACTCAAATGCTGTGTTCGACATACTAACAGGTGACGAAAGCTGGATTTACTGTTATGATCCTAAAACCAAAAGACAATCTGCTCAGTGGGTGTTTCCTTTCGAGGAGTTGCCAACTAAAGTGAAGAGAGATCGAAGTGCGGGAAAAAAAATGGTGGCCTCGTTCTTTGGAAGGATAGGTCATTTTGCAACAATTGTGTTAGAGGATCAAAAAACAGTTTCTGCAGAATGGTACACTACCAATTGTTTGCCACTTGTCTTGGAAAAAGTTCGAGAGAAACGACCTCGCAGTAGGATCCTCCTTCACAACGACAACGCCTCGTCGCACACCGCCAAGCGAACGATCGACTATTTGGCGACATCAAACGTTGAATTACTGGGTCACCCGCCGTATAGCCCCGACCTCGCGCCTTGTGATTTTTATTTATTTCCAAAAATTAAAGAAAAACTTAAAGGAAAGCGGTTTATGAATGCTGAAGAAGCGGTGGCTGCGTATCGCGATGCCATTGAAGAGACCCCTAAGGACGAGTGGGCAAAGTGCTTTTCCCAGTGGTTCCATCGCATGCAGCGGTGTATTGACGTGAATGGACAATATTTTGAAAAGATATAATAAAACTAATAACTGGCTAATGTAATCAGTTTTTGATTTTCTAAGAACTTTCAGTTTGACCCTCGTAAAACATTATTTTACATTATTCCAAACACAAAGGTTCAACTTTGATCACATGCAAATCTTACTAATATACATTTAAAAAAAAAACTACACATAATCTAGTATTTTGACTTTTGAAGACGCTCATTTGAATTGATATTTAAAATAATAAGTCACTGTATTATTATTTTTTTCTCTTTATCAAGGAACAAATAGTTATACATTTTACTTATCATAATATAATCTAGTACATACTTCTAAACCTATAGTTCCCCCAATGATAACAATATTTTTTCTTTTCTAATGTTAACCTCTGCAATTAAAAGAAAGCACTCAAAACGATCACAAAAATGTGAAAAATTAAAAATGTTTTAAAGTTAATGTGAAAGGAAATAACATAGATAAATAACTACAACAATCTCAAGTTAAACTGCATTTAAGAGATCAGTGATGCGATCCTTATAGTCAAAGTCAAAGTCAAAATAATCTTTATTCAAACAGACTTCTTAAAAGTACTTTTGAATCGTCCAACATTTTTTCCCTACCACTCGTTCAGGATGTCTTTTGGCTGATAAGAAGAACGAGCAAGAAACTCACCAGCTCGAATAAGAGTAATGACATTCACAAAAACCATGTCCATATATATTTAATGACGAGTTAAATACATCTACACCACTGGATTGAGTGACAATTGTACAAACACAAGCTCTCCTTAGGGGCTGTCCATTAATCACGTGAGGCTCGAAGGGGGGGGGAGGGGTCCATAAAAAAGTCACGAAATATCACAAGGGGGGAGGGGGGGTGAAGTAACATATCACGTGTATTTATTTTTTCGACAAACGCGCGATACTCAACCGAAAAGCGGAGTAAATAAGTGTAATAAAATTATTTTTTCGTCAAACGCTCATTAAATAATAATATTCATAAAGTTTTTCGCATTCCTTTCATTATTTTTGTCAATCAAAAACAACCTGCAAGTCCTGTAATCTTTCTGTCTACCTCTAGACATTATTATACTCTTTAATTGTCTATAATACAATTAGAAAATTAAGATTCATTGTAAGTACTAAAAATACACGTGATATATGCGGAGGGGGGGGTAGTCTTAAACCTCACCATGTATCACTATGGGGGAGGGGAAGTTAAAAAATGCCAAAAAAAAACATCACATGATTAATGGACGGCCCCTTATAAAACTATTTTCAGCATAGCAAGTTTTGCTGGCTGGTTTAGAACAGCATTTTTTACGGAAATTTCTTTCTTGTTTACGAGGTACAGGAAAATTTATGTGTTCCGATAAAAACGGTTAAGGTTAAAATTATTTGTTATTATTTTGGTAATTCCTGCATAGTGTTCTTGGTTGTAATCAGCAATAGACCAATTAGTAACTGCTCCATAGTTACATATTTTCATCATCAGCCCTTTATTTCGTCCCAGGGGCAGGGGCTCAGGCCTTCCTTATGGATGGTTAAGGAGGACGGGCCATGACCCTCCACGCTGGCCCATTGCGGATTGGAGGGTATTAACGACTACAAATGCAGCCGGGACCAACGGCTTAACGTGCCTTCCGAAGCACGGAGTAGCCCGAGTTAATAATTTTTTGGTCACCCATCCCGTGACCGACCCTTGCGAAAGTTGCTTGACGACAACAATCGCGTGTCACGGCGCATATCCACTACGCCACCGAGCTACATATTTTATTTGGGATTAAATAGTCGTAGCGAGAAAAAACTGTACCGGCGATAGGACTCTTACTGTACCATTCTCGGGAATCATCCATTTAATGTCCGATATGCTTATAGTATGAATTCTGAAATTTACTAGAAACCTCTACTTTTAATAGAACTCATACAACATTTTTCTGATTTTCTGCGATGACGTCCGCATAAACTAAAGCTCGCGTATGATGTAGCTTCTCCTAAGTGAATAAATTTAAAAATCATTCCAGTATTCAAATGCAAACAATAGAATCGAGTAGCTCGGTGGCGTAGTGAATAAGCGCCGCGGCCCGCGATCGTTGTCGTTAAGCAACTTTCGCAAGGGTCGGTCACGGGATGGGTGACCAAAAAAATCTATTATCTTGAGCTACTCCGTGCTTCGGAAGGCACCTTAAGCCGTTGGTCCCGACTGCATTTGCAATCGTTAATACCCTCGAATCCGCATTGGGCCAGCGTGGAGGGTCATGACCCATCCTCCTTAACCATCCATAAGGAAGGCCTGAGCCCCTGCAGTAGGGACGTATAAAGACTAATGATGATGATGATGAATAGAATCTTCCCTCTTTGTAATATTAGTATAGATAAACAGCAATAGTAGAGGAGAAATTCGATTTTTTGTTTGATTACCAAATTTAAAAATTCGTTCACCGATATAAAGTTATGTTATTAGCAAATAATAAAGACTACATTTAATTAATTACGAAGTACGAAGGTCGCGGGATCTGTTATACTGTCCATAAAACAGTATTTTTTTAAATAATTGCAATTTTTTTTATCAAACATTTTTCGAAAAAATCATACATTTTGACAAATGTAGTGCAACGTCATGAGTTGTTTAGCATTCAAATATGGAGCTCAAGAATGTGAAAAAAAACATCAATACAAGGTTATAATACAGAATCAATCTTGTTTGATCCCGCCTAGCCGTGCGCATGCGCAGGTCAACGGCCGGTCGTCGCCCGCGCCGAATTCGGCACATTTTTTGCGCAGCCTCTTGCAATCGGGTTGCACTTTTTAGATGCACCTCCTTGTGTACCACTATCTAACTGCGGAACATAGGAGGTATAGAGTGGTTTATGACAAAAAATATTTTCTCGTAAGCAATAAGACTACTTGGCGATAAGACAGAACTATACAATAGTGCTAATTCTGATATACTACTAAACTAAATAAATTGGCATAATTTTAATGGGCTTTGTTTTTAAGTCATTCTTTAGATAAAGATGAAAGGTAATCAAAGAAGTTTAATTATATGTTACTTAGTATAATAAAACAACTTTTGTTTACTTAGTTTGAAGGATTAAAAAGTAATTTATCTAATTTATTAAACATAAGTATCGTCTAGAGATTGAAGCGCAAATAAAACTAAATAAAACACTTAAGTACACGTCTGATTAAAAAGTGACTTTCACGCGTTACTAATGACTTTTTAAGATAATTTATGATGTCTTATTTTATCACAGTTTCAACATTTAGAATCTTAACATAATAAACGTCTATAGGAAACAAAATAACTATATTATTGATTGACTTATTTCTGATTCTATGCTGTCAAATTGTATTAATGTTATTCTTGCACCTAGACTTAGACAAAAATGCTATAACGTCAAAATTTAATAATCCTGATTTCAAAAATTTTATTAGTAAGATATTAATATTTATGATGTGTGAGTCAAGATTGCTGTTATTGTGGAACTTT